CCTAAACCCTAAACCCTACAACCTGTAGCCACAAAGCTTCAGAAAGCACCCGCAAAATCTTCGCAGGCGGCGCGCTGGGCTTCGGGTTGGGGTGGACGAAGCAGGCTCCCTCGGGTTCGAACTACAGTGACAGGCACTGGATGAAGTGCCATTGTTCAAGTCCGGGTTCGAACTTTCGATAGTTTCTGCATGGAAGGTGTTCAGGGGTTTGAATTAGGGATTAGTTAGAGGTTTCTCACTTAGTGTTTTTGGTCGTCAGTTGCTTAGGGGTTTAGGGTTTACGGCTTNNGGTTTTAGGGTTTTAGGTGTTTCGGGGTTGACGGTTTCGAGGTCATTGGTTTTAGACGTCGTGTCTTGTTCCTGTGCAGTTTGGGGTGGGACTCGGCTTTCTGTGTGGGGTTTCGACCCTTTTCTGCGTCTTTGTTGGCGGCAATTTTGCATTTTTGTTATATTCAAACCCACTAAGGATCAAACATAATCATTTGTAATATAGCCCCAACAAGGAACCAGTTTTTTTGTTTGGGATCTATGCTGGCGTGGCCCGAAGTCACACGCAGATCCAGTAGAGGAGGTGGGGTCAGACGTTGGCCCGTTTCTCAGCAGCTTTGCCCAGAGAGCCCAAGACCCCTTAACTAAGGATTATACCTTAAATCATAATATTAAGGCCCCTCTCAATACCCCTTGACTACGGATTATTCCTTAAACCATAATAATGTGAAGGCCCCTCGAATTTAAGGTATATCCTTTCATTCCCTTGTGGAAACCCTTCTAGATCCCCTTAAGGAACCGTTATAGATCCCTTTACGGGCCCTTCAATTTAAGGTATATTCCTTCCTTCCCTTATAGACACCCTTATAGATCCCTTTAAGGAACCCGTTTAGGGAAGTTCCCGAAGCCGCAATCACCCCAAACCAACCGCCCAGAGATCCCAATACCCCCCGCAAAATAAGGAATAGACCTTAAATCATAATATCAAGGCCCCTATAGTTTAAGGTATATTCCTTGATTACAAGGACTTATTCCCTAATTACGAGGACTCTATAATTTCAGGTATATTCCTCAAGTAAGGAGTATGTATTGGGCTCTCTGGGAGTGCAGGACGTGAGGATCTCCAGCAACATGTCTGGCAGTTGGGGCGCTCTGGCGCGTGGGGAGGCCTCAGACCGGTGGCCGGATACCTTCAAGCTGGTTCAGGGTTTAGGGTTTAGGGTTTTTAGGGTTTAGGGTTTAGGGTTTAGGGTTTAGGGTTTAGGCTTTAGGGTTTAGGGTTTTCGGTTTAGGGTTTAGGGTGTAGGGTTCCGGGTTGAATTTCTAGCGAAGGGGCCCGCGACACCCAGCTTTAGGCTTAGGATGTGATGTCAAAGTCTCACAGATTCGAGTGGAGAACTCTCAGCCCAAAACCCTAAAGCCTAAACCCTAAACCCTAAACCCTGAACCTTAGCAGAGAACCCCTTGAGCAAGGAGGGTTTTGGGGTTCTTGCTGGGCACGCCCAGAGAATTTAATACCCCTTACTTAAAAGGAATATACCTTAAATCATAATCTTATGCAGGCCCCTACAATTTAAGGTATATTTATTCCCCTAAACCTTAAACCCTAAACCCTAAACCCTAAACCCTAAACCCTAAACCCTCCATTAAGG